TCGGGCCTAGTATTCAAAGATATTTTTGTTTTAATTGGACACTATGTGTCATCTTTAAACCGTTTTTTTTTTTTTTTTTTTTTCTCGGGGTTTTTTTCTTCTGACACTGTGGTTGGAGCTGACGTGCTGAATAACAGATCTTGCGGCAACGGGTGCAAAGTTTTACTGCGTCAATCAAAAGGATGTGAAATTGCTTTCTCTGCACTCTATTTCAAGAAACACGAAAACCTGAAACAAACTAAAACAAATTTATCTAAAGGACAAAAATGTTTCGAATGGCTTCAGTGCAAAATAAGCATTAATATGAAACAAATATGTATACACTGCATTGTGACCTTAGCACTGCATAATTTGCATAGTCGTTCACATACTTAAAGGTCACTTGGCATGTCGTTCGACTTATCTAATTGAATCAACTCCTCAATATTATAACCCTGTCATTTTTGCAACCCCATTTTCAAAACGGGGCATGTAAACAGTTATAAAAAGAAGTAATACAAGTAATGCCAAAAATGTCAGTTAGGACGTGCTTTCCTTCTTGCATTGGGGGCTGGAGCGAAGGCTGTCTGCCTCCACCCTTAAAGTCTATGCTGAACCATCTCAGCCCACCACGACTTGGTGGAGGGTAAGTCAGTTGGGAAGTATGACCTGGTCATCAGGTTCCTTAGGGGGGTGATGAGATTAAATCCTTCTTTTCCCTTTTGGGATTTGTCTCTGGTGCTCAAAGAACTCCAGAATTCCCAATTTGAGCCTCTGCAATCAGTAGACTTGAAAATCTTGTCTTAAAAAATGTTTATCCAGGTTACACTGGCCTCTATGAAGAGTTTCAGGAGTAAACCTCATTTACTCATCTCACTTGAACTATACCCTCCACCTAGACCGCATGGCAAGTAAGCATAACCTTTACCATAATAATTATATGTAGATGTGTACTTGGCAATTATTCACTTAGTCATGTCTACACTACAGCTAACTTAAATTTGATCATTAGATATATGACATTGTGGTGTCCTGGAAACCCAATCTGATAAATATTCACCATGAAATTGCAGCAACATCCTGCTAAATGCATTGCAACACACAAAAAATAAAAAAAACGAAAAATTTCTTCCGTATATTTGTTTCCTGAGCTCCTATAAAGTTAATCTAGACTAGGTTTCCTTCTGCATTTTGAGAGCAATATCATAGTAGACATTAGTTTTATAGCCATTATGAATTTTATTTTTGATTTGGAGTCCAGTGATTAATAATGAAGACGACAATTAGTACTTCATGTCAAATGAACAGTCTCTTATCTACTTATATCATCGTTAAATGTCGGCCCAAGTGTTCAAACATATATTTGTGTTCTTTATATTGAATGCAAGTGTAAATTGAGTCATCTTTAAACAGTTTTTTTTTTTTTTTGGCTCGTCTGACACTGTGGTTGGAGCTGATGGGTTAAATAACAGATCTTGCTACAAGTTTTACTGCGTCCATCAAAAGGTTGTGAAATTGCTTTAGCTTTTTATCTGCACTCTATTTTAAGAAAGACCAAAACATACTAAAACAAATTTATCTATAGGGGGGAAAAATACACTGCATTCATCGATGCAGTTAGGGTCATGTGACCAAGTCTTTCACATACTTGTATATGTATTACCAACATAGAAAATTATTAAATTATACATAGATTTTGGACCTTGCTTTTTTCCTCACACCAATGTGTGGTGTTTGCCAGATGAGGTGCTTATATGATGGTAACAACAAGTTTTAAACATTAGACCACAAGGAATAGCAAAAATGACGTCATAAAGTGAGAAACTGAGTCTCCACCCATTGCCCAAAACAATAAATACTCTGCGTCTTCTGCAGACACTCACAGACCGTCTTCGTCATCATGACCATCATCATCATCATCTCTCTACTGGCCTCTCTGCTGCCACACCTGACCTTCACTGGTGAGACCGATTATATAACAGTATATTATGAGGATTTTTTTGAAGAATGTTTAATTTATATATGTGCTGAATAAGTTTACTAACAGCTCTCTCTCTCTCTCTCAGCTCATGTGAATGTGGGTATAGTGAACGGCACAGAAGCCAAACCCCACTCCAGACCTTACATGGTTTCTATTCAGGTGAAGCGTCAACATATCTGCGATGGATTCCTCATTTCTGATGAGTTTGTCTTGACTGCTGGACATTGCCGGAAGAAGTCAGTCTAATTATTTTTCTGAGCTAAAATCATGAATTTTCCATTCAATTTACATTTATTTGTATTGCGCTGTTCACAACACATTATCGTTTCAAAGCAGCTTTACAGAAAAATACATTACAATTTAAAGTAATCTGTGAAAGCAATGTCTAAATGACAAAAAAATATACAGTGCTAGGATAATACAAAGCGTGCAGGTAGTTGATATATTGAATTAATTTAGGCAGATACAATGGTCTCATTAAATAAATTATTATACTAAAAAAGTATGAGAAATAAGTTATGACATCATATGGTTTTTACATTGCTTTAACTCATCAAAATAAGTTTAAGGTACACCATTTACTACGCACAATTGGCTTTTTTTCTCCGATTTTGAAAACTCTTCGCGATCGACTTGTCGACGCGATCGAAAGGTTGTGATTCCTGTAACGTTACTGTTTTACGGTCAATGACAAGAGTACTAATCAGCTGTCTTACGAACGTAACCAGCACATTTATCCCCACATAGCAAAGCCATAACAAGCGAGGGAGAAGAACTAAGTTACATGAAACAATCTAACTACACATTTACACCATTGACACGGGAAAAGTCCACGAGTAGTGACTTAAGGTAGTGACGAAACACTCTCTGTAGCGATGTTTGTTCGCTGTCGGCTACGACAGAAACGTGACGTCACAATATGTCGACCTTCATAGAAGGGGGTGCCCTTACACTGTTAAAAAATATTTTCATGATTAGTAATCACAACATTTTTTCTTTTGTCAAATCAACTTAAATAATTTATTTAGTTCCGATAACATATAATTTTGAGTTTTTGGTGATTAAATCAATCTCCTTTATTATATTAACTCACTTTTTCCAGTTCAATCAACTTAAGATTTTAAGGCAACCAGGTTACTTACTTTTTTAAGTTAAACAATATTTTTTTACAGTGAATATAAATTCCTCATTCTAGGTAATAAAAACATTACGGTTTATTAAGTAAGTTCTTTATACACCACAGAAAACATTATGGATGTCATATTGCATTTCTGTGAATACATTTTTACACAATTTTCACTTAAAGATTCAACTCTTTTTTTTTAGTCAGTTTAATGTAATTTAAGTTGAAATTACATAAACATCCAAGTTGACTGTACTTAAAAATGTAAGGCAACAATGTGTACAAGTTGACAACACACTGTCAAAAAATATTTTTCAAGATTGGTTATCACAACATTTTTTTTCTTTTGTCAAATCAACTTAAATAATTTATTGAGTTCAGATAACTTATTATTTTGAGTTTCTGATGATTAAATCAATCTACTTAATTGTATTAACTCAATTTTTCCAGTTCGATCAACTTAAAATTTTAAGGCAACCAGGGTTACTTACTTTTTTAAGTTAAACCAACAATATTTTTTTACAGTTGGCATCATTCTAAATTGATCTAAATTAAATGCTTTCATCATAACAATGTTTTCTGAAAGAATAAAGCTGAATGTTTCCATGAACAGAACAGAAGAGCTGACAGTCGTGGTTGGTGCACATGATCTACGAGACATGAATGAAGGACATGTCCGCATTAAAGTGGAGTCCTATCACAAACATCTGAATTATAAGGAAAACCCTTATCGGAATGACATCATGCTTTTGAGGGTAACAGACTGCATTTATACCAGTTGTTCAAAATGATAGCTAATCATTTAAACACTGTGTATTAACATATAATTGTGTTTTTATAATTGCAGTTAGAGAAAAACGTCAAAAACAACAAAAATGTCGAATGGATTTCTATACCAAAGACAGAAGGAGATATCGCAGCAGATTCTGTTTGCAGTGTTGCAGGCTGGGGAAGTTTAGTAACTAATGGCACTGCAAGCCCAGTCCTCATTGAAACAAATGTGAAGATCATGAATAACGCAAAATGTGAAAATGTTTGGAAACTGACGTACTCAGCTGCACAGATGATGTGTGTATATGGCAATGGAGGAAGCTGTGATGTATGTAAAAAAAATAATAATAATAGGAATTAACAAATAAAATAAATATATGATTAATTTAGAGAAAGGTGATAACTGGCATTTTAGTGACGTGTTGATCTGTGTTTTTGACAGGGGGATTCAGGAGGTCCTTTGGTTTGTGGAGACACTGCAGTTGGTGTCACATCTTTCGGTGACTCTTATCACTGTAATTCACCTGAACTACCTGAAGTTTATACAAAGATTTCAGCATATCTTCCGTGGATCAAAAACATAATTAGAAATAATTGACTTTAATGAAAAAAAAAAGATGTTTAGTGCTAGCACTAAAACTAAAATTTTGCTTTTGGTGTACTGTGGAGTGGGTAAAACTGTTTTTAATGACATGCTAAAAGATACCGTTGACTCACGCTAGCCTAGCACCAGGGAACTATGCAACTGGGACGACTGGATAAACATTTTTGATTATTAATTATTAACTCTATAATTAATATATAGAGTTATAATCAATTATAATCAATTAAAATTGTAATCCTTATAATCAATAATCAAAAATCACCCCATCTCACAGGCAATTAATCCAATTAAAGGAGTGGTTCGGCATTTTGGACGGGGCCGACGTCCAAAATGCCAAACCACTCCTTTAATTGGATTAATTGCCTGTGAAATGGGGTGATTTTGCTTTTTGAAGTTAATTTGCCCTCACAACTTCTTTCAATAAACATAATATCCATTGCAATATATATATACATATGTACTGTGTGCTTTCATTTCAATAACAAAATAAACAAATGGTCATGAACATTGTATAATAATTTAATTCTTGTGTCATAAAGCAGAAAAGAGGCTTTTGGGAAACATAATATGCTTTTCATTTTCCAGCATGACAAAAACGTGAGTCCAGAGTCCTTCACATTAAACGTCTACATCAGGCTTTCACACAGTAGACAAGTTGGGGAAGGTCTTAGTTTTAAAATTTTCTTTACAAAACTGTTCACACATTGGCAATAACAAAGAAATTAGTACTTGCAAGTTAGGTAACACCTTCATAACATGAATATGAAGGAGCGCATGTTTATGATAACTGTCATTAAGTGTCATTCGCTCAATTATGACATTTTTAATGCAAATATGACATTGTTTGAGATGTCTTTGTTATGACAACTTGACATAAACCAAAACATCATTACCTGTCTGTCTTGGTAATGACAACTTAACATTAAATTAAATTTAACTGTAATCTTAAACTGTCTTTTGGTTGGTTTTGATATTGGCTGTCATGGCAAAAAATATTTTCAAGATTTGTTATCACAACATACTTTCTTTTGTCAAATCAACTCTATAATAATTTATTTAGTTGAGATAACTTATTATTTTGAGTTTGTGATGATAAAATTAATCTCCTTCATTGTATTAACTCACTTTTTCCAGTTCAATCAACTTAAAATTTTAAGGCAACCCAGGTTACTTACTTTTTTAAGTCAAACCAACTATTTTTTTTTACAGTGTAGTAATCACAACATTTTTTCTTTTGTCAAATCAACTTAAATAATTTATTTAGTTCAGATAACATATAATTTTGAGTTTCTGATGATTAAATTAATCTCCTTCATTGTATTAACTCACTTTTTCCAGTTCAATGAACTTAAATTTTTAAGGCAACCAGGTTACTTACTTTAAGTTAAACCATCAATATTTTTTTCCAGTGCATTATAACTGATTTTTTTATGATAATTGGTAATTAATCTGATCTGTCTAAAATTTTCAAACAAAAGTGTTACAGAAAATTCTTACATAAAGCCCATTTAAAGACATTTATAATGTTGCAAAATATATCTATTTCAAATAAATGCTGTTCTTTTGAGCTTTCTATTCGGTAAAGAATCCTGTGGTGAGGAAAATGCAGCTTTGCAGTTTCCATACTCACAAAAAAATTAAGCTTCACAAATGGATGAACTTTTCAATATTAATAACAAGAAGAAATGTTTCTTGTGCAGTGCAACAAGTAAGAAACTTCTTTCAAAAACATGAAAACACACACAAACACTTTTTATAGAAAGTAATGGGTTATTTTAGTTTTTCTAAGCTGGGCTGGCTTGTTAATGTTTTAATTAAATAAAAGTTTTTAGCAAGTGTAAAGGCCCTTTCAGACCAAAGGTGAAATTAATAAGCCTCATGAAGGAAATGCAGAATAATATAAGAGGCTGTCACAGTATCTGGTAGTGTTTTCCTGGGTTCACTAGAGGTCCTCGTTCTCACAGTGTCATTTACATTAGACTACAGTTCCCAGCATTCTGTTCTGCCACTCATCTCATCATTGCACACGGCTGTTTCCCATTACCTTGTTAGTTCTGTGTCTGTTTTATTGTTTGTCACGGAGTCCTTGTTTAATGTCCTCACACTTCTATGCCGCGTATTTTCCTGTTTCTCGTTTGTGTTTTTGTTCATATTTTTGCATTGACCTTTTGGTTTTTTGAACCTTGTGAGTATGAATGAATAAATTAACTGCAGCTGGATTTCTCTCTCTCTCTACTGTGTGAGTGATAGTGACAGAGGCAAAACACTTTTACTTCAGTGATAAAAATAAAGCAAACAAAAATTAAACTCAAATGTGATGGTTAACTCCTTAAGTCATTTTTGCGTATTGGTATAGTTGAATTGGAAAAACAAAAGTCAGCTGCAAAGAAATTGGATAATAAAGTGGGTTAATGTAAATACATATTTATGCAAGTTTGCTTAATATTCTGAATATTCAGTATTTTAAGAATACTGAATCTGTTTTAGTTCAAGTGAGAGGAGTAAATGCATGCTCACATTTAGTAGAACTAATAATCATCATGTTAACCTTACTCAAGGTTTCTCTGAACGTGGGGACAGGAGAGATGTTAGTCAATAAATGGGAAAATGGAGTAGAATTGAAAAAGTAACTTGTTAAAAGTACTGCATAACTTTAATAGTTAGTACTTGATTTTTTTTATATTTTTATCTTTATATCAGATGCACTTGTGTAGCCCTCAAACCCAATAAGATCAAATCAAAACATTCAAATGAATTTGCAACTGCCTGGGAAAATGCTGTTTCATACTCACAATGTTTATTATGAGTCATTCTTGCAGATCAGATCTGCTCTTTTTTTTAACCTTATTAATTTAACCTGATAGCACATTCTGATATAAAGTTTCCTGTTGACAACATAGGCATCCTGTGTCTTCAATTTACAATCTGATATGGATTTTCTGCCTGTTTTTAATAATTTTAAGGTATTCGTTCAATAAATTTAGCATGACGCTCACCACAAGTGAGAGTATTTCATGTACAAATTTAACAGCAAATTTACTGTTTTTCATCTTGACAGAGAGTTGTGGAGCTTATGAGCTCAACTGCACTTCTAGCCACATACGTTCAACCACATCCACCCAGGGTGAACATTTTCACACCATTTTTTTTTTTTAATCAAAATGAGTAAAACATAAACATTTATTATAAGTGTATTTTAAAAAATTTATTATTTTAGTTGCATGGACTATAATACGGTTCTTAATCTACATTTTCTGTAATTCATAAAAGATCTGACGCAACACCAGAGAAGTAAATAAAAAGCAAATACCAACACATTCTCATCCCAAGACGTCATCTAACTGACGCTTTTGACCATACGTCAACATCCAACATTTTAGGGTACCCTTTAACGTCAGTTAGATGACGATCCTAGGGCATCGGATTAGATAGCGTCATCTAACTGACGTTAAAGGGTACCCTAAAACGTCGGATGCTGACGTATGGTCAAAAGCGTCAACGGGCTGCAAATACATATATTACTATCATTTTTTTAACTTACTATTGTCATGTTATTGTTTATTCACTTTGTCATGTATACAGCTCACCTGCATTTGTTCTATAGATCGTTAGATATGACATTGTGGTTCCCTGGATGCTGGTCTGACAAATAGATACCAGAAGCTCATTGTCTCCACCCACCCTTGTATTTATACAGTATTTTATCTTGAGAGCTCACTACTCATCTTCTTCACCATGACCATCATCATCTCTCTGCTCCTGCTGGCCTCTCTGCTGCCACACCTGAGCTTCACTGGTGAGACTGATTATATAACAGTATATGTGTTTAATTGGTGACTAAGTTGACTGACAGCTCTCTCGCTCTCAGCTCATGTGAATGTGGGTATAGTGAACGGCACAGAAGCCAAACCCCACTCCAGACCTTACATGGTTTCAATTCAGAAGAACTGGCTCCATTCGTGCGGTGGATTCCTCATTTCTGATCAGTTTGTCTTGACGGCTGCACATTGCCAAAACAAGTACAGTATTTTTTGGAAATGTTTATTATGACTACTCTAAAAAGAAAAGGCTGCTTATATTAATTAAATCTTTTTGATATTAACAGACTGGAGAGTTTGACCGTTGTGGTTGGTGCTCATGACTTAAAAAACACAACTGAGGGTTCAGTCCGCATCAGAGTAAAGTCCTACCACCAGCATCCAGACTTTACCGTGGAACCTGTTATGAATGACATAATGCTTTTAATGGTAAAAATCTGTACTCATTTCAGTTCAAAATGATAGGATAATGGTCTGTCATTAATAAGTAACTAAGCAGGAAGTAATGCAGGACTAAAAGTAACATTTCATCTACATCTAACTAATGTTAAGGTATAATCTGGACTATTATTTTAAAGTGAAAAAAATATGTTTTTAACTGACAAATAGGCCATATTTTAACACAACTGCAAATTATTTTATAAACTTAGCTGCACAGTATTTTAAAACTTTTCCACTAAGGAAAAAAATAGCCCACTACAACGTACAAAACTATTGATAACAAGACAAACACTATTATAGTAACTAATATTTCGATTACAATCGTTAACTTAGACGCAAGATGGCGCCAGTTGCATTTGTGATAAGAGACAAAAATAAACCTCTTTTATTGTCTATGGTCAGAATACGTAGCGTTGTGTTCCCTATCAAGGGAACTCGTACTGTGTCGTTGACAGGCGTCGTGACAAAAATTGATGGCCGTCAGCGGGAGCGCGCGCAGCGTGTTAAATATGGATCAAACAAACTGTGGTAATGGCACTCACGCAGTACTTTTTATCAAAATACCTGTAAAGGGCCAATACAACCATTACAATGCGACATTTCACCTGCCAAAAAGTGATTGAATCCTCTACTGATTGAAAGGTTATTGCTGCACTGAAATTACTTGATTATATTCATGAGGGTTAAATCTGACTGATTATAACTCATCTAGTTCGTTTTAACTATTAAAATACCTGTAAAGGGCCAATACAACACATAAAATGCATTAGATGCAGTATTCTAAAAGTTTATTATAATTGTTATTATTATTATTATATACACATACTTTGTGTGTGTGTGTGTGTGTGTGTGTGTGTGTGTGTGTGTGTGTGTGCATATTAAATGAACACAACAGAAAGGGGGAAAGAGTGGTGGTACAGATTTCAGTAGCATGCTTTGCAAAAAAAATGGATATGAATTTGGATTTGCAAATTTGAATTATTTGCAAGTGTAATCTAACAAAGTTGAATTTTAGGTGGTGGTTTAAATAGTTCTGAATTTGTAACGAATATTTGAACATTTGAAATTGATCACACTGAAAGGATTTTATGGCTGAATTTTATAGACATGTATTTTCAAACAGCTATTTGTTGTTCTCAATTCAAACACTGTAAATATTCAGTTAAAAAAAAATCAGATTTAAGTTTTCAAGATGAAGAAATTCGGAACTTCAAATTCAGTTTTCTAAAATTCAATGTCAAAATTTAGGTCTTACAGAAACTAGGTCACAGGTCATCCACCACAGGGAAGAGTAGATGATCTCAGAAAAGTCGAACGGAGCATTTTGGCCAATTAGGGACAGCAGAAGTTTTCCAGCTGAATGTGGTGGTGGTTCAAGATGGATAGCTTTGATCAAATTAAATATATATTTTACATTTTGGAAAACTGTTCAATATGATTAAACCTTTTATGTGATTTTGTACAACAGCTGGATAAAAAGGTTACACAAAACGAGAAAGTCAACTGGATTTCCATACCAATGAAAGAAGAGGACAATGAAGTGCATTCTGTGTGCAGTGTTTCAGGCTGGGGAAGACTGAAAACTAACGGCTCACTTAGCAATCGTCTCATGGAGACATATGTGAAGATCATAAATAACACAAATTGTGAAAATAAATGGGGAAAAGATGACTATTCAACTTCACAGATGATGTGTACATCTGGTGATGGAGGAAGTTGCACCGTAAGTACAAGATCATCATCTGTCATTTGATCCACACACTGACTGATGTAAAGGCCAAAATTGTGCACTTTGTGTTGCCATTCTTAACAGGGGGATTCAGGAGGTCCTTTGGTTTGTGGAGAAACTGCAGTTGGCGTCACATCCTTCGGAGACCCAGATCTCTGTAATTCACCTAAACTACCTGAAGTTTATATGAAGGTGTCAGCATATCTTCCATGGATACATACGTTTATTGGTTAACATTTGTTTGTTAAAATTTTCTTGATTTAGTCTTAAATATCTCCAAATTGTTTCAATAAAAACATCATATCAATCATCCATGAGTCGATTGGCTTTTGTCAAATCTAGCCCTATTTTTAATCACATTATAGATTATAGATAGTGTATTACCAGAAGGCAAAATGCTCTGACCACGTGTAGCCTACCGTTTAAAGAAAATATTGCAAAACCTCAATATGAACTTTAATGATGGCAGTGAAAAAGCTTGTATCCATGATTATGAATCATACTTTGATCTTATTCTTATTTTTAAGCATGATTAAAATCTGTATTGCATCATTGAATGTGAATGATGCAAGAAATTGCAAAAAAAGAGAGAGCTGAATTGTTTGAAGTTATCAAAACAGAAAAAATAGATGTTATTTTCATTTAAGAGACACATAGTGATGTTAAAAATGCTGCTGATTGGATGCAGGAATGGGATGGCATTTCTGTTCTCAGCCACATTACCACACTTAGTGGTGGATGGTGTGGGTAGCCTATTTTATTTACTAATGCCTGGTTCAGATTAAGCCTTGTTCACACTACATGATTTTAAAACGTCGGGTTGAACTGTGCGGTTCACACTACATTGCTCTCTGTGAAATCAGGAGTGTTCAAGATGTTTAGTTGTTCACACCACACAACACAACTTCATTGATCCACAACAGGACACGAGTTGATAGAGATACAACCACGATCAGATGATAAGAGCAAATCATTTGTGACTCAATGAGAGCTGTTTCAGTACGGTCTAAATCCTGAAAATAATCAAATAAATAACGAGTTGAAAACAACTCTGTCCCCAACGATTCTATCTTGTCTACAAACCACGTTTTGTCACGAAAACCACGCAATAAAACAAACCAGAAATGACGCGAAACGGCAAGCGCGCCAACCAGGTGTTCTGTCGATTTTTACTGCCTTGTCGAAAAATGCTACCGTAGCGCGAATTGATCACAGAATGGCGATTAAAGTCGTATGAAATACAATTCTAATACAATTCTAAGTTATGAGTAGCTACTGTATACTGTAGACTACTGTTTTTATTTTTAAAACGGGGTGAAAAGTAAAAATTATCATAAAATATTCATCTTTGACTTGTCAAAGTACACCTTTTCTTATAGTAACTGAAACTTTCAGTTATTCCTTTTCAGCTGGCTGACCGTACACATATTCATATGTAGTAAGCATTTTTTAAAGGGAAATTATACATTATAACAGGAAAATGTACCTTTTGTAAAACAATTAAAAAAAAAACAAAAAAAACTTTGAGTCTGCACATGCGCATAACCAGTAAGTAGGAAATCTCGATGGGTAGCATGAATTGTCAGAACACCGGTGCCCTCAACCCATTCACCATTCATGATTAGGCTACCCGGTTCCATCACATGAGGTTGACCAATAGGAGCACAGAAGCTTTTCCGTACACAACTTTCAAAAATGGCGAAACGAAAGAGATAGTGCTAACGTTAAAACTACAAGTAAAAATATAAGAAAACAATATTTTAACTCAGCCTACCTCAAGTTCTCTTTGGAGGATTGACAGCCCATAGGCTACTGTCCTCTTCGAGTAATCGTCCAGGAAGGTGTCCATTGTCGGGTTTTCTTTCTTTTTTTTACCTTTTTTTCTGAACACAGGACAATACAACATTCACCCCGCATTCACCGCTTCATCCATTGTTTGTTTACGTTCATTTCCGGAAGTCACTCGCTACTAGTTTCGCCTTTTCGATGACATCACGCGCGCCGTTAACACTCTGATGGTCTTCCTTTATGAGTCACGTCCGTCACGTCCTGGGCCTTCCCGGTCAGAAGTGACCGGAGGCCTAAAAATGAAACTTCTTCCATCCCAGTAAAACCAATGCAATTTATTTTTGTTCTATAATATTTATTCTTTTTAATTTAGAATTAACTTTTCTAATTTTTTCAATGGAAATATATATATTATTTAAAAAGAAAATTATTAATGCAGTATTTTTGTTTAATATAGAGTCTGGGCCTTCAGAAAAAATATTTTTTTGAAGAAAATTAGCACCATCTGGTTACAGTATAGATAAAAACGTAGGACCATGGTGTAACCACTAGATGGCATGTACAGCTCTCTATGGAAAGGCATGTGAATTCCCCAGCTGTTTATGAACACATTTTTTTTTTTTTTGGTGGATTTGGATATATAGTTGAAACAATCTCAAAAACTATTTCTTATTTTTAATTTTTTTTTTTTAAAATAAATAAAAAATTGTGAATTTTTGTGTTTTTGTCAATTTCCATTCATTTCCTATGGGGGTCATTTTTGACCAAATACCAAAATCGTAACTATTTTTTTTTAGGACCACTTAGCATGCTCAGATCATGACCTCAATTTTTTTGTGTGTTCACATACTTAATGTCATAAAAGTCACCAAGTTTCGTAACACTCTGATGAAGCTGTGTGGAAACGAGAAACATGTGGGTGCGGAGTCGCAGCCAGGAGGGATACTGATGTGAGTGGCTTCACTACCGATACAGAATTCATCAGTAACTTCCGAATGACCAGATCCACCTTCGATTATGTTTGTGAGCGCCTTCGATCAACTCCGTCACGGGAAGAGACACGTCTGCGGCGGCCCATAACAGTGCACAAACGCGTTGGAGTTGGAGTGTATAGACCATTTCACAAGATGTAAACAACACTGGTCCAGAAACACTTCCTGTTTCAGTTTGTAACTGTTTTCTTTATTTCACATGTAAAGAAAACATCTTAAAGATGTTTGTTTAACTTTTTGATTCAGTATTAAATGTTCTGTTGGTTGTATTTTATCCCAGCTTTTATGTAGTGTTAAAAAAACTGAAACAGGAAGTGCTTCTGGACCAGTGTTGTTTCAACACAGTCTCATGAAGATGCGTATCTATACCACGAGTGTCATTTCTTGTGGCATTTATACGCCAAAAGTGTTTTTTCGTGTATATGGTACGCACTAAAAAACCCTGGGTTAGGTTTAGGGGGGAGGGGGGTGGGGAGTTCGTGCGTATTATACGCAAAAAAGTGCGTATCATTGGTACGCGAAAATCGCGTGCCAAATACACGCAAAAACTGTTTTTGGCGTATAAATGCCACGAGAAATGACATTCGTGCCATAGATACGAACTTTCATGAGAGCGGGCTGGTTGTTTACATCTTGGTCTATTGGCTAGCTACAGGTGCGTGCAATGACGTGCGGCCGTTCAGATTGAAAACGCATTTCAAAAGATCGGATACATATCGGATTTGGACCACATACCCAAGTGGCCTGGGTCGCATTTGAAAAGATCGGATCTGTGTCGTTCAGACTGTCATGAAAAGAACAGATACAGGTGGTATAGGGGCAAAAAAATCGGAATTAGGTATTTTCAGCCTGCAGTGTGAACGTAGCCTTAGTCCAGTTTTATCAAGTTGATGAGATTGTGAAAGGAAGACTTTAAAAATGCGCCAACAACAGCATTAGAAAGATTGGTGTTTTTAGATGCATATGTTTCAAAGATGCAGTACTGAAGAACATTTGGTTTTGTGAGATTTTAATTGTACTGATGATAATATTGATAGAAATCACGTTGAGCCCCATATGCCTTCAAGTGAACGTCTCTCAAAGATGATAAATGTGAATGATCTATGTGACGTTTGGAGGCATTTTCATGATGGTCAGAAACAATACATGGGCTCAGGCAGCAGCATAGTGTGGGCCCAGATCCGGTCCACATCTGCACATGGATTCCACACGGTCCAAATGTGGGTCGAGAGGTTGCTGTCTGGGAATGAACCCAATAACGAACAGCTAGAGGATTAAATTAAAATATGGTAATATAAGTCATTTCACATTAGCAAGTACCTCATTTTGAAATCTCCAAAATGGGAATAACTATGGTATAATAAAGTGAGATTCTTTAGCTCCATTTTTTTTTCTTCAGATTTGTCAATTTAAAATAAAGTATACCTAAACTTCTTATGCATTCTGTCCCAATCTTGCATCATTTAAGAATTATCAATGGAGACAAGAGCTATTGACATGCAATAGTTAGAGAGAGTGAGTGATTGAGTGAGTGTGCGTGCGTGCGTGTGTGTGAATTTCCTGAATTTGTGTGGCTTGTTCGGTAGCAGTCTCTGACAGAGACGTTATCGCTTTGCTACTGAGAAATGGCATGTATTTTACAATAGTGAAACTTACTTTAATTGATAAAATATTGCAGGCAGTGCTGATAACTTTCGGTTATGTAGTCTGTGTGTACATGTGGGTGTGAAAGAGCATGATAAAGAGATTGTGATATAGTGATAATAAAAGATAATTGTTTAAAAAAAAAAAAACCTGTTAATAGTTTGACATTTTTATCCTGTCGTTTGTCATGTTTATTTGCTTGATCAGTGCAGGGATGTAGACCTATTTACCAAATATATTATGATATATTTAAATAATTAAACAATGTGCTGTTGATATTGATATTTTGGCTTTATATATGGTCAGACACTTGCATGTGTCATCATTATATAATTAACATTCTACCAAAATCAATCTAAAATGGAGTTGACCAGTGAATGTCAAAGGCCGCAAAGTCTATCACATTACGTTTTCGTCAACTTAGGATGAACCACACAGACATGCTATTTAAGAAAGTTCTCGACGACAAATGCTAGACTGAGACAGTCTTCTCCACTCCTAAAATACACAAAACATTAGCCTTTATAGAGAGAGTTTCTTGAGTAAAGAAACGGTGTGCTTATTCAAACATCCAGTTACTTATTTACCTTCGCATTGCAGAAAAGCAGATGATCCTTTGGTGGAGTTATGAGGTTTGTCCAAGAGTTTGAGGATCCAATGGAGATACAAGGTTTATAAAAAAAGCTATTTTTATTACGTTTTACTGGTTAAATACAGAAGGTACAAAAGCTGTCAGGGGCTGGTACACTTTTGTACCCAAAGGCTGCATATTGGTACCTTAGTGGTACACCACTTTTTTACCCAAATTAGTATACCTTAGTTGTACATTAGCATAAGTGGTATATTAGCACCTAAAATGTACATATTATCAACACTTAAAATGTAC